ACGCTTTTACGCCAGGCTACCTATAGATTTATACATACATATAAGTAAATCCTCATAAGTGTGCGGGTGTCTATAAGTGTCTCCTTGGCAGCGATGTCAACAAAGCTAAGCAGATTAAGTACCGACTAGTGGTAGCTTGAAAACTCATAAAATGAATGCGGAGTCACCGTGAATGAGTGCCCGGCTTAAGGGTAATGGCAGTCGCACAAAGCATTCCTCAATTTGTCACACACGGGTGCACAGGAGTTTTTGAGTTTTTCATTTGGTTTTTATAATTTGTTTCTTTTTTTTTTGCAAGCTTTAAAGGTGAGCGAGCTGTCGTTTGTGGTGGATAACAGTCTTTGGTGGGTAGAGATGGGGACATGATTCTATAGATTTGAAAAGACTTGAGAAAGGGTAAGCTATTTTCTTCATCTCCAAGCCGAGTTTTCCAACGAAGAGCTGGAAAAAAATATAAAAATCTGGAGAAACCTAGAAGTCAGATGCCTTTGGAATTTTTGTTCTCCCCCGATGCCTTTGGAATTTTTCTTTTTCACCGACTTCTTTTAATGCTGCGTTCCCAGAGCTGAGACCCACAAAGAGTGTGTGAGAAATAGAGGTACAGAGGAAATATAAAAACATAATATTTTCCAGTTCGAGCCTTGGAACACCAATATTTAATATTACGAAGATTTGCTCTCGCCACTCTTGATATAAATCCACCAGCCGTTCGCAGGTGGCTTGAAAAGATCGTGGGTTCCGCCTTTATTGAAGAAATGTCAAGACTAGAGAGCTCGGCTGAAAATTGGCTCCGCGTATATAAAGCTACTACTAAATTTTTCGGTTCGGAAGCTGCCTAAAGCTATACAACCTTGTATTTGTTAGACAAAGCAGCGTGAGAGACATCACACATTGGAGTAAGAACACCAAAATCAGCACCTACTTACTATCCCCTTATTAGTTGTGGACTGGTTGGCTTTAGCTTTCGGTCTAAAAACTCTACTCATCTGCTTTATGTCGATTCGCTAGCTGATTTAATGGTTCCAACTCAAAAGTTTCCTGAAGTTGTATTAACTTAAACTCCGCTCCTCTTACCAACTCTCATTCTTGGCGCTTTTCGAATGGTGCGCGCCATGCTTCTAGATCTTGTGCGCAACTTGATTGACCCAAACCTTTCTCAGCTTTGATTTCCGAGGAGTTAAATGTTGAGTAAGATGCTTGTTGAAGCCCAGTGACCATCTTTTATAGGTGTGTAACTGACGCTTTTTAACTGTTGAAGCGATTTTCGGCCGAGCTACGTCTCCTTTTTGTAGGCGTTTTAACCAACAAATAAAGAGGCCTACAGCTAATTCTAAGCCGCCTCCGAACAGCCAATAGATTTTTATAAAGAGCATTGATTTCATGTCAGAAATACACTTAGAGGGCTTGATATTCCCGGCCGAGGGGTGACCACAATTAGAAAATTTTTGGATGTTGGTTGAGGCTTGGCCTTCGGAATAGTAATATCCATTTTACTCGCGGAATTAAAGCACCTCGATATCATTATTAGATGCCTTTCTACCTCAATTTGACATTCATCCAATGAGCCGTCAATTATATAAGTCTTTCTTCAACATTCCTCCGTGTTTCCTTTGCCGAGCATATCCTATTAGATCTTTCATCTGGTTAGCTTGTACAATATCTGGTATACACATGAGCTCTGAAAAATAAGTAAATGCAAATCTATTAATAACGTGAGCGATTGGGCGGAAGTTTTGCTGATCATTCCACCGTGCTGTTCTCAGTCCAACTGCTGCTATATAACTTGTCGGCCATGAATTCAACCTAACCTGAAAACGTCATCCAACATGCTTCGAAATCGCAATAATAATATTTATTCAGCGAGACCAGTTGAGAACTCGGAAACTTTTGCGTGAAACTGAAAGCTCCTTCAAACTTTTCAGTTGACTTGGGAACTTCGTTCCAGATTTGCAAGATCTTGCCATCAAAGTGCGATTCTTGCAGGGAACTACCTACTTTTGTGTTGATAAAACCAACCACGTAAAATGTTTTATCACTTTTTTTACGAAAAAAACGAAGCCTTCAACTCATACAATTCTAGGTAGTCGTTTTTTAAGCGTTTTCATTGACCATTTTCTCATTCACAACTCATCTCTTATATTTGTATGTATGTATGTACCTGTATGTATTGTAATAAACAATTGTGATTATCGCTATTTCCGAATTCGCACGTGTAAATCTAAATATTGTGTTTATACATACATACATATATACATATGTTGTATATTCCTAGTCTACAGCAACTGACGGCATAATATCGTCTTTACGGTACACACAAAACTCTCATCATAGCTAATAGAGTCTTTAAAGTTTCGCAGAAAAGAAAAAAAAAACAACGAGACAATGGAAAATTGTAATTAGAACAATTAGAAAATACGTGAATAATCGTTGTAACCTTTGGATGAAAGCGGTATTGACCGGTTATCACTAGGTCGTGATATGTGTTGGCGCAAAAATATTTTACGCAAATTTTTTATTTTTTTTAAACGAAATATTGGTATTTAATAATAATAATTGGTCTGGTGCCTATTGCGTCGGTGAAAAAGTACTTTTCACAAAAGAACCTCATAACATTCCCAGCTAGAACTCTCTCATTTCATGCTGAAGATACGTGAAGAACTTCGACTTTATCTCTCCACATTTACTTACATATATAGGAGTATGTATTGTATTATATAATGGGCATTTTGTAACCACCAAAGCGATTTAAGGCAGAGCTCCACCTCCTATTTTCGCCATGTGTTTTAATGTTTTCCTAACAAATGGAGGGACTTACAGCTTGATCTAAGCCACCTCAGAGCGGCGCTGGATTTATATGACTACCACTTTAGTTTATGTCAGAAACACATTCGGAGGGCTTGACATTCCCTGCCGTGAGATGACTGGGATTAGAGGAATTAATTTTCTATAATTCTGGATGTTGAACGGACTAGAATGTGAACCCGCAAATTACTTAGAATGCATCAAAATTATTCTTCTTTTTAATTGGTGTAGGTACTGTATTCACTATTATAGCAATACTCCTTTCCCCGCTTCTTTTCGCCGACCGGTGTCAACGGAGAGGATCTACCAGCGGGTACAGCGCTGTTTCTCGATTCGCTGAAATACGTCAATGTCGCTGTATATCTTATACAGGGCATTGTTCCATCGACTGTCGTAATCGCCATTGCCAATGCGCAAAGAACCATAAGTCTAACGCAAAACCTTTGTCTAAGAAGCTTCAAACATAGTATCGAGTCTCATGTTGTTAGTGTCCATAGCTACCAACTACATAGCAGGACGGAAATAATAATAAGCAACTTGTAGAGTTTGGTTTGTGTTCGTTAAGAGAGGACTTTACATTTTCATTGCTATCTCAGCCCAAAGTAGCATCAGTTGGGTATAGGGATTCCAGGTTTGATTTTAAAGCGGTTATAGGTGTAGATGCTGGTTTCAAGATAGACGAAGTTATCTACGACTTTAAAGTTGTGACTGTCAACAGCCCTGGGAGAGCCAAGACGCAGATGCGCTGACTGTTTCTTTGATGACAGGAGATATTTGAACTTTCCCACGTCCACTATTTAACATTCGTCGCGCTTTTTTGTCCAGTCGATAACTATGTCAGTATCATAAGTCAATTCTTATAAAAGTTTGTATCTCATTTTTTTTGCTCTGCAGCTCGTAGTTACCTTCTCAAACATCAAATTGTAGGAGATACACTATAAGAAGTCACTTTTTATGAAACCTCAGAGAGATCCTTCTTGATTCCTAAGGAGATATTAGTGTCACTAAATAGCGGTCGGATCCTTTTTTTTTCGATGATTATTATGACTCTTATCTACAATATTAACAACAAGTTATCCTAACATGAAACCTGTGGAGATAGAGAGCTGGACAGAGAACCTATTGTGATAAGCTCAATAGAAGTATAAAGGGAAGAATTTCGAAATAATTGCGACCAGACTCAGAAATTGCGCGTAAAAATAGTTACCGATGAGCGCCGGCTCGCCACTGAGCTATCTTTATTCATCGGTTATCAGGCTCTATACATTAAATAAAAAATAGCTCCAGAGAAAAGCGTGGATATTGTTAACTTCTAATTGCAAATAGTGCTCCGTGGAAAGAGTGCATGGCGACCTCGCATATCCTAATACCTGAAACCAGAATTAAAGGACTAATAACCATTGAAGTATCTTATTTATTTGCGAGTCATACCGCGACTCATGATGGAGTTGTTTGACAGAAGGATTAATAGATTAATCTAAAAATTTATTGGTACCAAAAATAAAATAGGCAATCGGATTAACTGTCCTTTTGAAAGGTGCTTAAAACCTCATTTGGTCTACTGGGTCATCAAATGAAATCTTTGAAAAGCACCACCCCAAGGGAAAAGGGCACGTGTATATGCCATCGGAAACAAAAACAATCAAAAAAAATTGCTAAAAACAGCAGAACAGAATTAAAACCGTCGTAAGTCGAATAAACGATATATGAAAATAAGCAAACAAGCAAATAAGCAAGGAAGCAAGCCAGCCAGCTTCTAAAAGCTATCAGCAGCCGCATGCACGCACTGGAAATACTGGACGTTGAAAGTGAAATAGCAGTGGAAATCTACGCAGCTAACTGCAGCAGCCACAACAACGCTGACTACATTTAGAACAGAGCAGAGTCAGTCCCGAAGACAGCAGCAAACACGAATGTAAAGCTTGTTGGCCCACAAATTTGTTTATATGTATGTAAGCAACTGAAATGCCGGCAAAGTCACTGTGTTCGACATATGTACGTTTGTTGTACGACAACAGCTTTATTGAGTTTTGTTATTTCTCTGCATGATTTTCTTTTTTTTATTGCTTTCGCTTATTGGTTCGATTCGCTTTAACTTCGGCACCAGCTGTTACTCGTAGTTAGGTGCTGTTGTTTGCTGCTTCTATTGCTTCTGCTGCTCCTGTCTCTGCCGCTGCCACTGCTGTTACTGCGTTGCTTGCTATTGACTGTGGTGCTCGTCGACGTTCGCTGTTTACTGCTGTGCTGCCCGCATGGTCGGTCGTCGCATAACAAGGAAAAGTGCCGCGACCTGAGATTTATTTAGTGTACAACTGTCGTGGAAAACAGACATCGCTCAAATTTTTTAGCGGAACAAACCGTGTTTTTTTCTTACATATGTACATATGTTCATTTACATAGAAACAAATTCACGAAGGTGTATAAAAATCATATGTGATCTGCATTGTCTGTATACATGAAGTGTTTGTAGCTAACAGTGGAAATTAAGTGGAAGAGAAATTGAACGGTGATTTGTGTGGAGTTTTGTTTGAAGTGAGTTGATGATAAAGAAAGTGTACTTGTGTATGTACATATGTAAAATATTATAATGAAAGGTATACGTGATACAAACGGCGAAGGAGTAGGGGTTTTTACAATTTAGTTTGTAGTGTGAAATTGTAGTTCAAAAACTAAGCTCAAGCGTTGATTTAAGATAAAATATAATAAATAATATTAAAATTATATTAAAATCAAAATAAAATAAAGAAAAAGATAACTTTTAATAGATATTATAACCATTGAAATAAAACAATTCATGTAGTGATATTTTTCCCACGCAATAAAAGTATTAAACTTAATAATTCAGTCTTTTGAAAATAAATTTACTAAGCACAAGTGATGGAAAGGCTCTGAAATTCTTCTCTGTAAACTGAAGCGAAAAATACAAAGTTGTTTAAAATATCACTTCGAAATAAAAATAAATGTTTGCTTTTATATTTATTAAAAAAAAAAAAAAAGAATTATTAAAAAAATTATAATTTTTTTAAATGAAAAATTTATAATAAACTGTTATTTTGAAATACAATTTTTTATAAATAACTATTATAATATAATACTATATATAACTATAACTTAACTACTTGTTTGTGCATTTCTTTTGTATTCATACAAGATTGTAAATACAGTTTTAACATGTTATAACATGTTTTTCACAAAATGTTGCAATGAATAATTTCAGAAAGAACAAGAATTTTTTAACTTAGTTTTAAATTTTTTCGCTCAAAAGGTTTATATATACATATATACATGTAAATAACAAATATTTAAAAATATTAAATTTATTTTTTTTTATATTCGGAAATACTTTTAGGTTAATTAAAATTATGAAAATAATATAAATTAAAATTAAATAATATTTTGTTGCCATCACTTTTAACTGAAACATATATCATTAAGCTCAAATAATAATTTAGAAAATGTTTTGCGTTAAAATTAAATTTTTTTTAAATTAAAGCAACTGGTAATCTTGAAAAATTTTAGAAAAAGCAAAAATAGTCATAAAAATATATTTGGTTCATTGGAAATAATTTTTTAAACAGTAATAAACAATGTTGCGTGTGAAATTTTGGTTTAAGATTGAAAACCATAACTAATAATTAATTTGTTGGCAATTAAAAAATAATAATTGAGTAAAATTACATAAAATAAATTTAAAAAAATTAAATCAAATACAATAAAGTGAAACAAAACAATAAAATGAAATAAAATGAAATAAAATAAAATGTAAAAAAAATAAATAAATTAAATAAAATAAAAATTAATTAAACATATAAAATTAAATGAAAAAAAAAATAAAATTAAGTATAATAAAATTAAATAAAAAAAATTAAAATAAAGCACAATTTATGAAGTTAAACTAAATAAAATAAAATAAATTAACACAAACAAAATTCAATTAAATCAAATAACACAAAGTGAACAAAAAAATTAAATTAAATTAAATGAAATAAATAAAATAATATAAAATAAATAAAAAATAATATAAAATAAAATAAAATAAAATAAAATAAAATAAAATAAAGTAAAATAAAATAAAATGAAATGAAATGAAATAAATAAAATAAAATAAAATATATAAAATAAAATAAAATTAGAAAAATAAAATAAAATAAAACAAAGTAAGATAAAATAAAATAAAAAGAAATGAAATGAAATAAATTAAAATAAAAAAAATAAAAATAAAATAAAACTAAAATTAAAGAAACTAAAATTAAATTGAAATAAACTAAAATAAATAAAAATCAAATAAAGTTTTATTAGTTAGTAAAGTAACAGAAATTAAATAAAATTAACAAAATTAAAATAAATTGAATACAAGAAAAAAAAACAAAAAATAGAAAAAATGTCATTAATAACAAGTGATCCAAGGGAATACTTCAAATGCCATCGCAAATGTGTTAAAATATCCTCAAACCAACAATAAATAAATATTTGAGCATTTATTTGTACATATATAAGTATGGGAATATATGAGCGATTTACCATTTATTTGTTTTTGCAAAATCTTCTTGTACATATTAAATAAAATATGTACTGAAGATCAAAAGTAAAGATAGGCTGAAATTTTAAGACAAACCACACTTTCACGCTCAAAAGCTTTCAACATAAATGCTTACAAGCACATATAAATATTGCGGGTGATTGCTGCATGCGAGCTGCTTGCATAAAACATAACACCCTGAAAGGGAAACAAAAAAGAGAAGGAAATAAAAAAAAAAAATAACATTATCTACAAACGCACGCGTCTCAGCTGCAGCAGCAAGACATTTTCCAGAGGTAGCGTTGTTGTTGTTGTTGTTTGTACTTTATTTTCATACTGAAAGACCTAACCAGAGAACAACAGTGAAGTGCTTATGAAGAGAGGAGGAACAAAGTAGAAGCAACCAAATAATTTTTGACATATATACATATCTATGTCCATATATGTATGTACATACATGTTAATGCAGCTGTGTACTACATTTCGAAAATGTAATTAATATTACTTTTACGTCTGCGATACGCTTCCGAAGACATACAAATATACCTGCAAACGTAGTGTAATTTTTGTTTAGATGCTACATACGTACATATGTACATTTCTTGTAGTTTGATAACACATATATACATATGTATTAACCGCATAAAATACTTCATTTTTCCCTTTCATTGCATTTGATTTTTTCGTTATGCGTACATCACTGCGTATGAGCGAAATGGATTGTATTTTTTGTTGAGTCTTCAGCAGCGACGAGCGTAGCAGCGGCAGAAGCAGCAGACAGCATGACTTTCATTATGTGCAATTGTCTCTTCTTTCTTCTATCTTGTTGTTGTTGTGTTACAAAATGATTCAGCACTTAATTAATTTGTATGCGTCTCTTCGTCTTGTTTTGTGGCGCTTTTCCAGCGATATCGATTTAAGCTTCTGACCTAACAGAGGTTTTTAACATTTTTGAAGATATTCCATGGGCATAGAGGAAAATGAAAAAACATCATTTATGGTAAAACATCAAAATTAATATACCAAAAGAGGACTCTACGAAGAGATGAAGTTCCATTTCGGGCCAGGAAACCTGTAATTATTCAGAGAATATTACGAATAAGCTTTCAGGGCAATCACAAAAAAGTGCGACTGTATTTCTCAAGGCTTTCGGTTTTCTTTTTAATAAATTACTTGCAAGTAAAAATGAGCTAAAAAGTTAATTTTCTGCTATTAAAGTTGTTGTTGTTGTACACGTGTAGTGATTACCTAGAAGCGAGCGGAAAATCTATTCTACGAACGTCTGCAGTAGGGTTGCACCTAAAAAGACGAAATTAAGAAGCCAGCGAGGATGTTGTGTAGAACAGGTGTGTCGGTGTTGAGCTAAGTCAAGTCGAAGTTATGCATCTTACAATGAGCCGTCCAGTTTAACGTGGGACTCGTTCTCGGTAGGAGAGCACTGAGAAATGTTATCAGTCTTTTTGCTGGCATTCCTTATGGCCTTATGGCCGGGATCGTAAGGTTCGACACACCTTTCCGTGAAGCGAACGCAATTAAGAAAATTCATTTCCCACGTGTATAAATTGGTCGAACCAAGACTCGAACCTTTGCCCAATTACTTGAATGTAGCGTACACTGGTGACTTTAGATGAGGTTTAAAGGATATCTGTAAGTTTCGGATACATGTTTCTTCGGTTTTAGGTGATCTGAAAAGAGAAGGCGAGTTCTTTCATACAGAGGTGTAGCTAATTTTAAAGACCGTGGAGAGCACTAAGCAGTGAAAGTACGGATATTTCTGTCTCGAAGACATTTGTTCCGTGACATCAAGTTTTCTTTCTAGCTTCCATTGGCTTGGAGTCTGCTATTGCACTTTGCCTTTCGACCATTTGGGTCTTGAATCTATGCTTAGAAATAAATGTTTAGAATGGCTTTCTCTGTGCTAATTTAGTGGTTGCCTTCAAAGTGTTCTGCGTTGGCTGAAACTACTCATTCCACCATTAAAGACCAATCTAATTTTGTTTTTTGTTTGTGTGTATTTTTTTTTCATTTCTTTTTCTCATTTTCCATTTTTCCACCATTTCCTTCATGCCGGCTTTCTTACCACCTTTCAAGCAGGTGCGTTTGGAAATTTAATTAATTTATCTGTGCGGCGCGATTGGGTTTCACATTTGCTAACCAATCGAGAGACAACACACATACATATATGTATATTTGTGGGTATGAGCATATGTTTGCATTGAACTGAGTTCATTTTCCACTACTTTCCATTAGCAAATGGACAACACATGCAACACACTCAACGTCTACTGACATGGACAGCGTCACATTGTCACTGAATGACAATGGTTCAGCACACTGAGCCCTTGAGCCCCTCAAAGGCGACGCATTATTATGACAGTGAATGATCTAATTTTATCCTAATCATCATTGTGGTTGTTGTGGTGTGCTGGTTGTTGTGGTGTGCTGGTGGTGACGAGGTTGCCTCTGCTTCACCTTCTCACTTTTGTTTTCTATTCCTATCCTATTTTTCTTTTTGCTTCAATTGTTTTTCATCTTTTTCCAGTTTATTTATTTCTCTGTATTTTCGTTTATCGCTTACGTTTTATTTGATTCGTTGGACTATTTCAGCTGCCGGCGAGGTTGAAAGTTGTGAAACAAAAAGGTCTCGGGATGTTGTTAGTTTTGTGGCAGACAATTTTTTTGTTGCGTTACTGTTATTTTTACTGCGTTTTCCGCACATTTTGTTCTCAATTAATTCATTGTAATCTTTTCTGTGGCTTAAGCCGTAGCTTTTGTTTTACTTCTGCTGACATTTGCTGTATTAAGTGGAATGAATTTTAGGTGGATTTCGGTCTCCCAGTATTTTCATGTTCGAAATTCAACTGTAATGAAAAATTTTCAAAAAAATTCCTTTGAACATTTTATAAATTCTGCATTTTTATGTGGATGAAGGAAAAGTTGAAAACGCTTAAGGCTCCCAACATTCAAATTTATAATAAAATATCTTTCCACAGCTTAAATAAAGATAGGCAAG